AAAAGGTCGGCTTTTGGTCCTATACCTCTGTGAAAAGGGAGACGAATATTTTTATTGGGGGTCTAATTATGCACGAATAGAATACTCCGGATGCTTTAAAACCATGAACCTATTTACTAAACAAATGTTTGTTACTACACCTTCAAATTATCTTTTGTTCAAAAATTAATTTTATACTTGATATAAGATATTAGTTTTTTTTTTAGCATAACCTTTAAAAGTAGGTCTAGAGAAAGACTCCCAATTTTCTGCATCTTCAATTCTTGGTGCCATGTCTTATTCGCTTGTCTCCCTCAGAGTCATTTACTCCAACTGGATCTCAGGTCGAAGCCGGCTGGAGCACGAGAACCAGGCCAGAGCTCGATACTCCTTCCCACAATAAACACAACCTTGCTGGGGACTGGGTGAGACACTTACTGACAATCTTTTGTTGCATTTATACCGTGGGCTGGTTACTTAGGTGTTATATATCAGCCCTTTACCATATAGAAACCTAAAGGCGAGAACATGTATGCTTTTGTTTTACAATTGATCTGGGATAATACCACAATCAAGAGCCTGCAATTGAACCAAAGACACATGCTAATAAATCTAGCGCTGCATATTTACGACATGCTAAATGTTGCTGCAAATGTCAGTGGTGTCCGGTTGTGATTTGCTGGGAAGTGGTGCAATACTAGTAAACACACACTTTTTAGTCTAGGCATAGTTAAGATTTCTTTGTTCCTATTCTCCCACTGGTGTTCATTCAGCACAGACATTTAGAGGGGATAGTTCTCTGACCTCTTTCCTTACTTGTAACATATTGAAATTTACAGCTACAGCGTGTCCGCGGGTCTTAAAAAGTATTCAAGTTGATAAATCAATTTTTGCGAAAATTAAGGGCTATTAAAAAGTATTAAACGGCTTTCCAAAGGTATTAAGAAGGTCCACCGCAACGCGCTACAACAAGTAAAACACCTCACCATGTCGGGGAAAAAAACAAAAAACCCCAAGGGGCGCCGGCCCATGCATTACGCGCGGCCGTAAATGCTGCTTCTATTTTTAAGTTCGGTTTGCCTTGCCTCGCGTCTTGTGGGGGACCGGGGGGCCTAGAACGAGACCTTAAATGGGTGACGATACACGGGGGTCCAGGTGGGTAAATAGGACCGGCATACGCAACGCTCTTGGGGATCCAACGGCTCCGTGATGCCAAGCACCTAGTATGATCAAAATTATTACATAGAATAAATAAAATAAGACAAAATAAGAAACACAGACATACCCAATCCCCCACGATGCTCAATGATAGACTGCAATGGCAAGTCAAGCGAGAGAGGGGGAGGTAAAAGAGAGCGTCAAGGCACCGTTTATTAAATATATTTAATTTACGCAGAGACGTTATCGAAGTTGTTAAAGCTCATAGAATACAAAGAAAGCGACCGACTTTTCTATTTTGTAGGAAGATTTAAACTTTAACAGGGACTGTTGCCCGGCGGAACATTTTTTTAACGGAAACTCTGCGCAGCGCGGTCCTCGTCGCTTGGAGAAGGCGGAGAGTGGTTTTTCATCTGCTGGTGTGACTACCTGAGAAGCGCAAGAAACGCCGCCCCGCGGAGAATAACAGAAGGAACCATGCTCGGGGTCTTCTTCGCTGCTTTTGTATTTTTGTGGCGACGAGGGAGCGACTTACAGCCTGCATTTGTATACATCGGTTCCAGCATTTCCAGCATTTCACGCCTTATGTAACGACACCGCTATAATCGAATGCTGTGAACGGACAGCTGTTTGTTGGTGTTTGCGTATGCGTTTTACCGTATGACGTCCTCGTGGGCGGCCGGGTCCTAAGCCGAAACTATATCCCGGTCCAGAGATCTGCCTATTTTTAAAGTAAGTCCATCAATATATAAGACCCTAAATATAGTCCTATATTAAGACGAGAAAACTCTTAACATCGTTTTTTGCGAACATAATGACAGAATGTGTGAGGCTTAGCCCCGGACAGCCCCCAGCCCAATTTAACCCCTGGGTATTTGTGAGGGAGCTCCTATATGGCATTAACCCGCTGAAGCTCACCAAAGTTTAATATATCTCATAGTTCAAAGTTTTATCAATTGTTTTGTTTATTGGTCAAATACTGGTTTCTAATGGTTTCTGAGGAGTTTTACTGGAATGAAAGAGCACAGAGTCTACAGAAGCAAAAAAGCAGCATACTGCATTAAACCTGACCTTCACAGAGAGGTTGAAGTTCATGTGGAGAGGAGGCTTCAGTAGTCTGTCTGCACTCTGTTTAGTTTTACTATCTTACAATCAATATAGTCAATGTGAGGTAAATTGTGTCGCCAATGTAACCGGTTAGAACTCAAAGTTGCGATGAGGTCTTACAAACGTATGGAAAGGGTCTTAAAAGGTCTTAAAAGGTATTACATTTGACTTCAGGATTCCTGCATATACCCTGAGCTATTTAACAAATACAAACTGAAAGAAAGAAGAAAAAAACTGACACATTTGAGCTGTATGTGCCTGTATTTGAATTTCCTCTACATTTCCACAGTCTCCTCCACCATCCTGACCTGCTGATGTCCCCGAGTAAAGGAAAGGCAGAACCAGATGTCACGCGCAGGAAATCCCCTTCTGAACAGCCGAACAGCGGCAGGAAATCTCCATTTCTTCAAACCAACCAATCCAGTATCCACAAGAAGTCACATTATCCATTTAATGATCCATCATCGGGAACTGGAAGCTCTGTGGAGAGCTCTTCAGTTGGGGGGAGCTGGAGGTAGGTTTTTATCGTATTAGCGTTTTTTCTACCAAAGTTATTAAACATGGTTCCTACATTTAAGCAGTGGTGGACATTAGCTAAGCATCGTTACTCAAGAACTGCACTTAAGTACAATTTGGAGGCACTTGGAGGATGTTCGTAATTAGGTATTTCCATTTCCTGCCACTTTATACTTCCACCCCCCTTTTCTATCCCACTTTTTACTCCACTTCATTTATTTCCTTATTAAGACTAATATTACAAATATAATCAGCACAAATGTATCATGAATTGAAAGGATCAACTTTATTGACCATTTGGTGCTTTAGCTCCACCTTTACCCGCTGCAACATTAAAGTGATGATCATCAATGCATCATTTTAATCCAATATTATAATATACTGAATATTGTTCTGAGGGGCCCTTGGGCGGGAATAAGTACTAATACTTTGATGTATTTGGTGCTATTACTTTAATACTTTAACCATGGTAACATTTTGGAGGCACAACTTTGACTTTGAACAGAGTATTTCTAGACTGTTGTATTACTGCTTCTACTTAAGTAAAGATACTTTGTCCACCTCTGGATCCAACTCTTTTTTGTTCTGCAGGTGTGCGTCCCCCCCGGAGTGTGAGCAGTCTCTGCAGCAGCAGCACAGGCAGCAGGAGCAGAGTCAGCGGGAGTCCGGCCCCAGGGAGGGGTCCTCCGCCCTGACGCCCATGATGAGGGCCCTGATAGAGCTGGAGGAGACCAGAGCCACAGAGAGCCGGGCCCCCTGTAAGAACAGCCTCACCCCCTACAGTATGCCTCACACTCACTCACAAGCCCTGATAAATGCTCCAAATGAAACGCCATGTCTATCTTATTACCTCCAACTTCTAATTTAAACATGTGTTAATGAGGTCTCATTACACTTGGGGCATAACAGCAATATTCCTTCCATACACAACGTTGCATTTTAGGATAGGTGTCTGTCTTCTCCCTGCAGCAGGAGAAGAAGGGAACAATGGCTGCAATCAGTTTTATACTGTAGTACAGTATGTAGCATGATTGTGCAATGAAGTGGCTGCCACCGAATCAAGACACATTCTAGTGGTCAATCACAGCAAAGCCTGACATGTTTCTTAATATAAACTAGAACCATTTTTTTACCTTTAAGAAGACACTGCTCTTAACGGAATTATGGCTGAACCATCCGAATAGGAACTTGTATAAAAATATGTATTAAAGGATAAGAAGAAACATCAATTAATCCTGGGGTGTCAGAATATGTGCATCAAATGTCAGTAAAGAGTGAATAAATCCCATTAACCTTACCCTAACCCCCGAAGGGATGCTTTCAAAATGAATTAAGGACTAACAAACAAAACAAACATTATTTTATTTAATGATCACATAAGAAAATAAACTGATAGCCTCTTGTGGGCCTTATGTATTTTGCACGTTTTATTTGTTTGTTTTTGTTATTTGTGCTTTTATTTCCCCCGAGAGATAAAGGCCATTCTAGGCATGTAAAAAAACACTTTTTTTTAACCTCACCAAATGATGTTCCTCTCTGCAGGGGTCGGCAATCAGAGGACCACTGTGGGGTTTGTGGAGCGGAGACACAAAGAGGTGCTGCAGACCGAGAGGGAGGGGGGGAAATCTGGAGGAGAAGCCAGAGCTGAGCCCAGAGGAAGAGGAGGAAGAGGAGGAGGAGGAGGAGGAGGAGGAGGAGGGGTGGCAAAGAAAAGAGCTGCAGCTCTCCTGAGAGCTCAGAGGAGTCTGTCTCCAGACGGCCACAGGTCCTCCTCACTGCCTCCAGAACATCGAAACAAACCAACAACTACCCCCAGTATGTCCTCACAGGCTCTTCATACACAGTTATCGACAATTATCTTATTTACCGGAACACAACATCAGGCTCAGGTTTCAATGTATTCTGGAACTCTTTTAGAGGTTTCTTTAGAGTTGTTTTGAGGAAATTTTTTGTTTTCTTAGAAGCATACAGTACATGCACATGTGCAGGTCATTTAGACTTGGAGGCTTTAATGTAAACATTTCAAACTACTGAAACCCCCTGGTGAATGTATTTTTCATTCAATGTTGTATTGGTTAGTTATTGTTTTAACTAATGCTATGCTCTTCTTTTTTCCATCCAGCCAAGAGAGGAACTTTACTGATGCCCAGGTCTGCAAAGTCCAGTCCCAAACGCTGCCCCTCTGAGAACTACTCCACTGCTTTTGGTCACCTGATGCCAAGAGACGCACACATGCACAAAAGGTGAGCAACACACAACATGTTATCAGTTCTGCAAGTTAGATTAGGAGATCGAAGCAAAGTGAAAACTGCTATAATATCTCAAAATGTTGGATGGATTGTAGAGAACATTTTTTACATTATTAATTCTCTCTACATTTGCTGTCGTGAAATTGTGTTAATGCTCAAAATACAACAGGAGAGTGATGACCACCCTTGTATCAGACAATGTGCAACACTGCTTTCTAAAATGTAAGACATAAGACATCTTGCTTACAAAAAACCCAAAGTAGGCCAAATCATTCCTTGCTTGTTAAAATGCAGTCCAAGCATGAACCATAAACAGCTTAGTGAGCCAGTGTTACTGAGACATAACTGTAGATTCTTGACGACTTTGATCTACATTACACTGCGGAAAATCAAAAACAATCTAATTTTGTCTACAGGACTGATGATGAAGTTGACCAGAGGCGTGATTCATTCCACAACGGCAGTCCCAGGAAGAGACTCCAGTTTTCCTCAGCAGACAGAGAAGATGGTAATTTATTCAAGCTCTAGTGGTTTTAAAAGTAAATGTGGTATAGAAATTAAATTCTTATGGTTGGCCCGATTTCAAAACAAGTATTTGAGCAACTTTTAAACGTTTATCCAGTCTTTTGGAATTTATCTAATTTACTTATGGCAGGGGTCGGCAACCCGCGGCCTACGGGCCGCATGCGGCCCTTTAAGCCCTCTGCTCTGGATCCCTTGAGTTTAGACAAAAATAAGAAGAAAATAAAAGTATTTGTAGGACTATTTATATTTTCTTGAATGGTTGAAAATGTTTCGTATCTTGTATTTTGAGGTGATACTGTGACACATAAATAAAAAACAAAACGGTTTTAATTAGGTCAACTAAAATATGCGTCACATCCTGCTACGGTCCCGCGCGAGCGCCTTTTCCTGCGGGTGAATAACCTGACCCCCGGTTCGATGAGCAAACTATGGATAAATCAAAGAAAAGTACCGGAGGAACACATGATTTAATTCTGTGTGGACAGAGTTATATGCTTTCACAGCAAACGATGCTGGTTTACCGGTATGTTTGATATGTAGAGAGAAGTTGTCAAAGGTGCTGCAGCCTTTACGTATCGAGGAACAACACGGGAGAGGAAGACAGCTGACGATCTTCAGTCATAATTCAATGGGGTTTGTAATTTATTTCAGAAAACACTTTTTGTTATATTCCATGGAATGCTCTTAACGTCCCGATAGCAATGAATATATTAAATGCTTTGACAATAAATACATACAAAAATTAATCTCTGGAAGCCGTTGCGCTGTAAAAAGCACGGCCAATTTTTAGCCGACCCGGCTAAAATAACTGGATGGCCTACCTGCCTGTCAGCCTTCTATCTGGCACAAATGTATCTCGTGGCCTCATTGATGATGCGCGTTCGTGTGTGTTGGAGGAGGGACTCTGTAAGAAAGTCTGAAGGAAGAGGCCTATTTTTTCCGGTTGTGTATTTTCAAATTCTAGCGCACTCGAGCTGGTTTCTCCATTCTTACCTACCCTACCTTTAACTCTTTTTAGGGTGCAGCTATATGTTTTATTTATTTCAAAGTGGGCCCATTTTAATAATATATTTTTTTTCCTTCAAATGTGCAGAGGACTCCCCAAGTGCTGTGTTTAATTTATTTTAAAGTAGGCCTGTGTATTATTTGTAATTCTCCTTATAGGAGTTATTTGTTTCTTATTAGTGGTTAACAGTTGTATATAATGTAATAAATAGCCTAATAAATGCAAAAAAACTGTAGTTTTTGTCTGATATAACAATAAATACAACTTTATTAGCTATCAAGCTATGAAATATGTTTTGCGGCTCCAGACAAAAAATGTTTGGGGGAAAAAGGAGCAAAATGGCTCTTTTGGTCAAAAAGGTTGCAGACCCCTGCCATAACAGAACAATGTTTCGATGTATAGAGCATAACAAAAGCCTTAAGTTAGAGATGATTTTAGATGAGGGATTTAAAAGACAATGTTGTATGCCGAGAGCAATCTCGTGAAAGACATCGGGGTACTGCTTTGCCCGGTCTTTAGCAGAAATGTTCGTCGTGTGAGTTCCACACGTTCACTCTACGGTGTTGTTTACCTTCTGTGATACTTCACATCACAGAAGGTCACTTCACGTCAAGACGAGTTAACTTTTTTTTCTTCTCAACTTTGTGTGGAAAAATGCGGGGATTATGCAGCCTTTTGATAAATATGCGGCCTTTTAAAAAATCTGCGCCATTTTGCTGATTATGCTGTAAATTCTGCGATCGCAGGATCGCGTTTTTCTGGAGGGTCTAA